AAGGAGCACTAGGGTACCCCGGGTTCGTGAAGCCTGTGTTTACCAAAGATGGTAAACCACTTGGGGAAATAGAAAAAGATCACTAGGGCACCTCGGGATCGTGAAACCCGTACTCCCCTAAAGAAGGTGAGCCCCCTGTGGGGCTGTTATATTTCGAAGATCCAATGTTAGTAGGGTATAGAAATTTAGACAGCGCGGGTGCCAGTTTAGAGGTCATCCTCGTCACTTGACCATGATTCAAAATTACTAGAATGGCCTCTTATATAGCTCTCTCGTATAGCTTCAATGAATGAATGAGTGATTATTAAAGTCGCACTGGTCAGCTACACGAGGGGTTTTGTCGACGGACCACGTAATTTTGAACCATGGGGACGTGGACGACCCCTGAGCTGGCACCCCTCTCCTAATTACTACACCACACCAACGGGAGAACGTTTCAACTCTCGACAGATTTAACGTGCATCGCTGCCCTACACGGCGGGTCTTTAGTGGTACTGAGCTCGTGACATGCCTGCCATGATCCAATACCTTGACCACTGGGCAAACGCAACCATCGTATAGCTTCAAAGTGTAAGGTTAAGACAATGCTTTTCAAACTTTCAACATTTGCAACCCAATATTCTGTCAAAATTTTCATCACGCCCCCCTCCATACAATAACAATGGATTGAATTCAATAATATTAAGCTTGACGCTAAAGCTGCAATACGACTTTAACCTCTTAAGTGCCCCCGGCGTATATAACATATCACTTAGCCAAAGCGTTAATTGCCCCGGGCGTATGTATACGCCTTTCCGAAGTACGAGATCTTCTCTTTTCACTGCTATCCAAAAAGTAGTTCTGAAGGCTTCGGAATGCAATAAACCCGGTACGACTTAAAGCCGCCGTGTAGGGCAGCGATGCACGCTAAATCTTTCGAGAGCTGAAACGTCCTCCCGTTGGTATGGTGGGATAGTTAGGATATGGGGTGCCAGCTCAGGTATCATCCACGTCGATTGAGCATAGTTCAAATTTACGAGGTCCGTCGCCAATAGCCCTCGTGTAGCCAGTGCGACGTTAATATTCCCTCACTTGGAATGTAATAAATGGACATTGACAGTGTTTGAAAAGGATTTACTTAATTCAGAGAAGTTTTTACTTAATTATTCCCCTTTTCATCCCCCCAAATACATCACAAACGCGCCCCGCATAAAGAACGGTGACCTAAAGGAGTGAATCGTGTAACTTTGAATCGGCATTTAAAGGATTAATTATAAACGCCCAAATTATCAAGATAAGTGTTAATTTTTGTAAAAAAAATAATATATGACAAGCCTATGGGGTCAGTGGTAATTATTAAACTTGTTATTAACTTAGTATTGTGAAATTAATTATAAAATACATAGTGTATACACTACTAATGCATTTGTAAGTGTATTACATCAGTGCAAATGTGTATTTTATGTTTTAATATGTCAGAATGTATTTTGTTTGCTTACTTTCAGCAAATTAATAACTTTTTAAAATAATATTTTGTTTTCGACTTTTTAATATGCTCACACACCCCTCGGTGAGTTTTCCCGCCCTGTCAGGGGGACGCGCCCCACAGTTTGAGAAATGCTGCGTTAAGAAATAATCAAGCGATATTTATAAAAAAAACTCACTATATTAACGTCGTAATTTTAAGCAACACGAGGGTCATTGCCAACGGTCCTCGTCATTTTGAACTTCGTTCAGGTGACGAGGCCGACACCCGAGCTGGCATCCCCCTCTTCTAGCTACCACACCAACTATAGGACATTGTGCCTAGACAGATTCAACTACGCGGTGGCTCTTCGGTGGCGCCAGGACTCGCAACCACGAGTTCGTGACTTCTACCACAGACACTTGCCCTCTAGTACATGTATAACTATAAACTTCATGTGGTTTTCAAGAAATTTAGACTTTTTGATTTTATTATTCATTACAAATTTCCTTTCCATTTCGTAATCATATTTATAAAAAATTTGGTAGATCAGAAAAGGATCTACATTTGAAACTTCAATAAACTACAATATTATCTATCATTGCATTTCTGATTTTATTAAGTAGTGCTTTTTGCTTGGATTTGAATTCTACTTTAAAGATGTACTCTTAGCAGAATCGCGAGTGAACGTATATTAACATCGCACTATTCAGCTACTCGAGCTCTTTTGGCGACGGGCCTCGTCATTTTGAACCATGCGCAAGTAATAAGGACGACACTCCCATCTCTGAGGTGGTATCCCCTTTCTTCATTTCCACACCTCACCAACGGAAGGACATTCGAGCCTTGACATATTTAACGTGACACTCTTCAGCGGCACAAGGCTCGAACTCATGACACACCAGCCATGAGTCTGTTACCTTGACCAACAGGCTACCACGGCCACCTGCAGGATCGTAATCTTTTAAAAATTAAAGTTTACAAAAACTAAAAAAACCATCTTTTATAGTTAATCGAACTAAATTGTATAACTTAATCTTTTAGTCACCAAATCTGGAAATGGGATCTGGAATTAGTCTCCAGATGCAGGACGGGATCTGAAAAGGGCAAATCGTTATTCCTGATGATCCTGATCAGGACAACGGAACAAAATTATTAAATTCTTGTATTGTTATCGGACCTGGACAAGATTTCGAATTAATCTGACTTTTTGAAGTGGTGAAAATTCAGTTCAAAGATTCTGTTACATACAAGTTAAATTTATAACAAGAGTGTTAAAAGAAGATCAATATTTAAGAGTCACTTTCGACACGCGTTCGTTATCTAATAAATAGGCACCGTAGACACACGACATTTCAGATTGGTTGAATTTGAAACTTGAGCTCATGATTTTTAAGCCAATAAAATTCTGACCATCAACAAAGAAGATTACTGGGACCATAATCTGTTCTTATTAAAAAAGGTATATATTTTGATAATTAATTAATACTAAAGCCATTCGTCAAATTTGGGTTTGAAATTTGTGCTAGTGAGAGCAGGCTACAGCACCTCTAAAGGCACTAGCAAGTTCATTTGTAAGTCACTCAAGTTTTCAAAATCACATTCAAAAAAATATACTCCAAAAACTCAAATTCACACCAACATAAAATTTATTAACATCCTATATATACATTACAGACAAATTGATATCATTAAAAAATAATTTTTCCCTCAGTTAAAGCTATTAAAAAATTCTAAAAATACATTTCAATTCTTGCGAAATGGATTCTGCAAATATATTTTACTGGTATTTTAAGTAATTGCATTAAAAATTCCTTATAGATTTTCCTCTTTACAATGAATATCTGTTGTAAGGAGAAATGTTTATATTTAAATTTTGTCACAATGAACATGATCCAATTGCCATTTATAGTAAAAGCTCATTCACACCAAAAGCCTTAAGTAGCGTTGCGACGATGTGGCTAATCAGAAATCTTTGATCGAAACAAATTAGAGACATTTTCGTCGCATATTGTTTATTTACAGACTTGGTATGAAAGAGCCTCAATAGGTCCGAAAAGTAGAAAATATGTGTGGATCTCGTAGTCAAATTTAACACTGCTATTATAAATAAATTTAAATTTAAAACATGTGTGTGTTTGTATTAAAATCTAATAAATTAATCAATAAATATCTTGTGATAAAAACACGTCTATCATACTTTCCCGAATCTAATAGTCACTGGTTTCTGCTTTGTAAATTGTAGCAAGAATATTCCACAAGCTTTCATTAAGATGCATATTTGGAGGGTCACTTTCTATTAGCTTAAAAAGATATAATCTTCAGTTTCCTTATCTTTAATTGGAATTTTACTGAGATCTAGCTCCATAATTTATATTTCCCGAGATAATTCCCGCTCGTTTTTGTCTTCAAATAAATATATATGTATAAATAATATATTGGATTAAGTTACGAATACGAAAAATAGAGTTCGAAGAATAACATCATTGGAGATGCATCAAAAGTGCTGCACAATAAAGTAGTAATGGTTTCTGAGGATAAGGAGCTCGAGTTTCGGACGCCTTTTCAATGTCTACTCGAATCCATTCCACAAAGGTCCTACTGTAATCTCCAAATAGCATTTTATTGCCAAGACGTCATCCTTCATTAGGTTTCTAGCTCCAATCAAACTTTTCTTCTGTTGAAAAAGAATGTGGCCATCATATGATATGGAATTAAGAAAATTGTAAGGTGCACAGTTTCTACCCGTCTCATCTATAACATGCATAGAAAAAGCGTATTTAGGAATCACAACACCGCTGCTGGCCATAAAATTAACGCTCACTTCATCTGATGTAGGAATTTCTAAAATTAATGTCGTGGATGGGCACCAGTTTGCTATCGGGTCTATCCGGTACCTCCTTTCTTGCCCCGATTGAAGAGTGCTGAAATTCCTGATTCTCCAGAGGAAAACTCTTTGCTCAAATCCCAAACGTGTGCGAGCAAAACGAAAGTGGAACTTCTCTGTATCTGAACCGATCAAAAACACGCGGCATCGGATCGTAAGGGCGTTGTTCGATAGCAATTGTCTATATCTATGCCAATCAAAAATGTTTATTTTAAAGTCAGTTTCGAAAAAATCACCTTTCTTCAAGCACAGCTGGTGCTTCTCTTTGAACATAGTAATTTCATGAGAGCTAAAAAAAGAGAGATCAAATTCTATTTCGACTTCATCCATTCCATCATCCATCTCTCTGTAAATACGTAACGCGACGTTATGTATATTGTGCGCCAGTGCTATGTTCCACCAAGTGTTTTGCAGACAGAAGCTGGGACTGTGAATTGTTTTGGGAGACAGCGTCATGCAACAATTTTCTATCATCCAAAGATAGATCAAACGTCCTGTAAGGATTTCTTCGCTTATTGCCATACTGGGATTTCTGATTCACAATTTAGGTAGCATGTGCTTTCAGTCTCTGGAAGCAAAGGAAACCATTTACTGGACAGTCGATGCTCTTAACTTTTCAAAACGTTACCAGTTTCACAACGTTTTATATGTTTTAAGCAGAAGCAACGTTACTTGGTGGCGCCACAGTTGCGCGTCTGACTTCAGATCAGAAGGATGTGTGTTCAAATCACGTCCGGGTCACAGAGTTACATTTTGGTAAACTTGGTGGTGGGGTTGGTTTGTCCCTGGCCTTCTGCACCCAAGGTTGCGGGTTCGACCCCGGTCCAAGTCGGTGAATTTTCATAATGCAGAAAATCTACAGTCGCCATATCGTATGATTATATGGCATGTAAAAGATCCCTACAGTGTCTGTTTGGCTTGGATGTTCTCGAGGTCGCGGTAGCCGAGTAGTCAAGGTATCGGATCGTGGCTTGCCTTATCACGAGTTCGAGCCCAGTATCACTAAAGACCCGCTGTGTAAGGGAGGGATGCATGTTAAATCTGTGCATGTGTTGTTACGAGAGCTTAAACGTCCTTTCGTTGGTGTGGTAGTTAGAAGAGGGGGGAGTAACAGCTCATGTATCGTCCTCGTCACAAAAAATTAGGCTCAAAATGACGAGGTCTGTTGCCAATAGCCTTTGTGTTGCTTTTTAATGCAACGCTAATAAAACTCTCACTCACTCAACTCTCCCGAGCTAAAAAAGCTCCCTTTAACAATAGACAGGGGAACGTTTTTGTTCTCTCACTAACACACGCAGGTTTTTATGGATCCTCTACCCCCTTTACAGATACAAACAGTACCCTTCTATATTTCTGAGAAATAAGACGTTGAAGGTAATAAGTTTGATATCACGGGGCATGCACCAAATTGTTGATTATGTTCGCCAAGATGGGCGATAACATTACAATATGGTTAACTTGATATTTTTGCAGTTTTGGAATTTAGTACATGTTACTTTTTATTACATTTTATTGTTATTCATTATTTATTGATTGATCTTAGTTATTCTCAATCTTTTTCTATATTCTTTTGAAATATATTTCACTGTATTTCTAAACAATTCTTTAAAACTATCTTCTTGACAATTTGATACAGCTAGGCCGCCATCTTGGATTCCATTCCAGTTACAAGATCTGCTTGGCGCCTTGCAACGTCATATCAAACTGGCATCGAAATCAGTTGATTTGATACACAGGTTTCCCTCGTATAACACGGCTAATTCGTACAGTGTTGTACCGAAACCGTGTTTTACTAAACTTTTTTTTATTAATTTATTTAAATTATTTTACTTATTTATTAACTTAATTTTGTATGGGCATAGTAAAATTCAGGGCAATATGTACCGTGTTATATCGAAATCAAATGTTAAGGTGTAAAATTATATAATAGCAGCAATTTCGTTTCAGTAAAACCTGCAAATGAGAAAGTAAGTTCATATTTTATTTTGATTAAATACTTGTAATACAAAAATTAAACGAAGAATAAAAATTATAATAATGATTATCATAATAAAATAAAGATTATTAGGATTATAATACTAATATTCATCGTCACTTTCATCAGAAATTACAGCTAATCAATTTTTTTTCTCGAAGTTAGTTGAAACGTCTCTTCATTAGTTATTTTTTCCTCGTTACAAAACTTTTCTGACTTAATTGCCATTACCTGTCTGTTTTGATCTTGCAATTCTCTCAGAATTTCTCTAAAAGTTGCTAAAGAACTTTGCGATTCTCTTTTAAATTCCACTTTAAAGGCAATGGGATATTCTCTTGAACGAAAATAAAAATCAATTTTTTTTTAAAAAAAAAAAGGGTTGTATATCAAGTTTTGTGCCATGTTGTACGGGGAATTCCCCCTGCATATAACTCACCTTTCACGATCTATGGCCAACCCATCATGAAAGCTAAGCCACGACACATTAGTGGTACATCGTCGGCCTGATTCATGTTCATTTAAATGTCAAAACATGTTTAAATATCTATGTTCATTTTTTGTCAACATATTGCACTTAACTAATTTTTTATTGTAATAATATTCTTAAAAAAATGTTATGTACGTTTTCTAATCTAATTTACACTAAATACCATAAATATTATCCATTTATACGCTTTTGCAAAATCACGGTTCTGATCATAGTCACCTTAAAAAATTTAATTTTATCCATGTGACTTATTTTCTCGGCATCTAATACTGTGATTCTTCAATTCAAAGTACAAAAAAAAATCGAATTCCTTCGAGTCAAATAAAACATGTTGTACCATTAGGGAAAAAATTCTGGAGAAAAAGTACAAAACAAAAGATTTTTATTTCGCAAACTCATACAAAAATAATACTGAAAACTATTAAAAATATTTTTGTTCATTGATGGGGAGTTGTTTTTCATTGGCTGCTTAAAACAGTTTCAAGCAATTCTTTTTTCTCCCATACAAAATGATATGTGAAGTCCTATAACAGTCCCTATTTCAGGTATTGATTCCATCTTTCCTATGTTTAAAATAAAAAAAATGCGACATTATAGATGAAAATAATAAGGAAATAAAAAGCATTCCACAGTTTTAAATTAAAAAGAATCGAGAAATGTAGCTCAATGATTTAAAAACATCTTTACGTTCCTTAACGGGCAACCCATGCTGCGTTAGTGATTCTTTCACAAATCTATTCGATTCCACTCCACAGAGGTCCAATGCACATCAGCAAAACGAATTTTAACGTCAAGACATCATTTGGTAATTTCGATACTTTATTTTTCCAGTCGTCGTTGTGTTTAAAGTAAAGAATCACTTCTTCAGAAGCTGGTATCGAACCGGAAGCACGGTGATAGCAGTGTGATTTACAGCCGTCTACTACGTTGAATAGAAGGGAATAGGCAACACTTGTATCCTCGTTCACCATCAGTTGGAGGAGGATGTGTTCTTCAGGGGCGTTGCGGAAAATAAGGGTCATGGATGGACACCATTTTGCAATCGGATGGGCATTGTACTGTACTTCCTCCCCTGGTGAAAGACGGCTGAAATTCCGGATGGTCCATAAAAAACCCTTCCACTCATTCCCCATTCGTGTGCGCGCAAAGCACATCTGGGTCTTCCTCGTATCCGTCCCTAGAAGGAACAGGCGGCAACGAATCGTGAGGGCGTCCTTGGGTATAAATATGCTTCTCTTCAATTCAAAGACATGCAACGTTGATAATTTTTCATCCATTTCGGAGAAATCTCCTATCCTGAAAAGTCGTCGCTGCCTCTCGACGGTCATTTTGTATCCTTCAAAGGCCACAAAGGAAAACTCAACGTTTATTTCCACTTCACTCGGTCCGTTATCCGTTTCTCTGAAGATACGCAAGAAAAGCCACTCATAATCATGCGCTAGTGTTAAGTGCCATCGCGTATCTTTCAGTCCGAAACTGGGACTTTTGATATCAGTTGGTGAGATGGGGGAGGGATAGTTTTCAATGGTCCAGTAATAGGTAAGTTCTCCCGAGAAACCTTCGTCGCCAAGGGTCATGTCACGTCTCAGTTTCTTGTTTATGTAACGACTGCTTTCAGGCTCGTGCCTAATATTGTGAGAACGGGCCTCCAATTATAACTTATATTGTCAGAGAAACTCAAACCCGATTGTAAGATTAAAATGAAATGCACGTGACTCAATGATTTACGCATTAGTTCAGTTCAATTCATTCAAGCGTTTCTGAATAATACGACCGCGTCAGCCGAATGATCACGGTATCGATCTCGCAGCCGGCATTGCCTAGTCACGGATTCGAGTGCTGGTGCTACTATAGACACGCCATATAAAAACACTGTTGAGACGCAAAGTCCTCACGTTTACGAGGAAGGGAGTGAGGTAATATTAACGTCACACTATTCAGCTACTCGAGGGCTTTTGGTGATGGAAATCGTCCTTATGGTCAAATGATAAAGAATGCACCTGAGCTAGTCCCCCCCTCCCCTAACTTCAACAACACACCAACGGGAGGACGTTTAAGCCTCGAAGTATTTAACGTGTATTGGCCATCTCTGCTAGGTGGGTCTTCAGCGGTATTGGCCCGAACTCATGACAAACCGGCCACGAGTCAATTACCTTGACCACTAGGCTAATGCGGCCGTGGAAATTTGGGGAGTAGCATGCAATGTTTTAAATTATAAAATCTGTTGCCAATATCCCTCACGAAATTTCAAGTGAGTGAATGAATATTAACGGCGTACTGTTCAGCTACATGAGGGTTTTGGGCGACCGACTTAGTAATTTTGAACCATGGTCAAGTGACGTGGTCGACACCTTAACTGGCAACCCGTATCCTAACTACCACACCAACGGGAAGACGTTTGAGCTCTAGACAAATTTAACGTGCATCTTTCCCCTAGACGGTGGATCTTTAGTGGTACTGGGCTCGAACTCGTGACAAACCAGACACGATCCGATATCTGTACGACTTGAGTACCGGGGACACACACGAAATTTCAAAGTACAATGCTAGTAAAAAATGAATTTTAAGCAATGACGTGCAAATCGAGGGTCCAATTAAAGCAATGAATAGCGTGAGATGGCACTTTATGTGTCTGCTCCATCATCTAAGCAAGGTTCAAAATTACAAGGCGTATTAACTGTCGTTGACAGATCTCCAAATCGAATACATGTGAACACAACCAATAGTGACTCGTTAACTAAATGGTCAAGGTATGCAGCCAGCAATGCTTTAGTCGAATCGTAAGTTGGAGCTATTATTTCATTGAACATTCTTGTCGCTTAAGGTATTCGACTACGTTTGCAAAAGCCTAAAAACGAAAAAAAATTTTTAATATTTATAGTGTCCCTTATTTATATAAATTAGATTACACGTACACAATTGTTTTAAGAATATTATTACGATAAAAAATTAATTTAATGCAATATTTTGGAAAAAAATAACCATAGAATTTAATATTTTTTTAAACATTTTTTTATGTAAAATGCTTCTATAATAATAATATTTTGCCTATATGCCTCTGTACAGAGCTTGGGCTACGATTTTAGATTTATCCATATTTTAACACATCAGAGTGGATAAATTTTAACAGAAAAAATACCGATAATGATTTAAATTGATAGTAACTATGAAAATAATGATTATTTTTCAAAAATACTTATTCAGACTCTCTGGAGAAATAATTAGAGATTATAAATTGCATTGTTCAGAAAAGGAGAATGTTTTGAAAATGGGTAATTG